GCTTCTTGCCCTTCTTGCCCTTGGGCCGGTACGTGCTGCGGTCGCGCAGCGGCAGCCACCGCTCCGGGTCCGGGGTGCGGCCCTCCTCGTAGTTCTTGGGCAGGGCGCGCCTGCGCTTCTTCTTCTCGGGCCTGGAGGCAGCCGCCGCCGCCTCGCTGTCGGCGGCGCGCTTCTTGCTGGCCAGGACGCTGGCGGCAGGCGGGCGCGCGACGGTGGCGACGCCCTGCTCGACGAGGGCGGCGACGTCGATGCCCGCAACGAGCCTGTCGACGGGCGCGAGCGCGGGCAGGAAGGGCTGGACCTTGGCGTAGTCGCTGGTGGCGAAGGAGGCGACGAGGCCGGCGGTGGCGGCGCGGTCGTCCTGCGCGCTGTCGATGAGGCGCTCAAAGGCGGCGCCGGCGGCGGACAGGTCGGCCGGGTTGGCGGAGGCGAGCAGCTCGACGCCCGCCTCGCGCAGGAGCGACGAGCTGCTGCTCGCGCTGCCCCGCGCCTCCTGCTGCCAGTGCGCGGCGGCCTTGGCGAGCTCGGTGCGGATCGCGCCGTGGCGGCCCTGCAGGCGGTACAGCGCGACGGCGAGGGCGACGAGGCCCGGTGCGTAGCGCACGTCCTCGTGGTCGGGCGTGGTGGCTGTCTCGAGGCGCTTGAAGAAGGCCTCGAGGAGGGTGAGTGCTGGCCCGGGGTTCTTGGTCTGGATGTAGAGCTGGATAATGGTCAGCAGAAGGCCGACGTCGTCTGGCCGGGCGTCCAGTAGAGGTAGGATGCTGCGGAGAGCCTCCTTGCCGCTCTTGAGTTGGGTGGTTGCGGCTGCGTTGAGCATTCCTAGGTTGACATTGTCGGCGGAGACTGAGGGTGTTGACTCCTTAAGCAACTTTGCGGTCTTCTCCTTGACGCCAGCGAACTTCTGCGCCTGGAGCTGGATGATGTACTGGTTGCGTTTCAGTACGGCGGCCTGATATTCGAAGAGACGGTCGTTGCCTGTCGCGGTGGGTGTAGAGTCTGCCAGCCGCTGTAGCAAATAGGGGTTCTCATTAGCTTTTTGTGTAAGACGATTGCTTTGCGCAACGATCTTTGTCGAAGGATCAGAAATACTGCGAAGACATTAGTACAAGAAACGACAGGAAGATAACGAAGAGCACTTACTCTGAAATTTTCACCAGCTTCTGTAGGCTGGCTGCTTCCTCTGGCTTTCCCAAGTGCGTCGAGACATAGACTTGCTGCACAATGATCGGCAACAGCTCAACCTTCTTCTCCTCGTCACTGAGATCCTCAGATGCCTCACAGAGATCCCTTGCACGCTTGAGAAGAACAGCAGCCTTGGCAAAGTCTCCCCTGGCAAGACATCCACAAGCCGAATTGTACGCCGTCTCGAAAGCCTCTAGGTCTTCCCGGCCAGGCTGCTTGCTCTTCTCGGGCACGAGGTCTCCCTTGCCCTGCCACTCCAGCTGCGCCTGAGTCGCTAGCATGTTGATCTTCAAGTCGTTCTCCTCGCCGTAGTTGCCGCCCTCCTCCTCGATCAGCTCACGGTACAGGTGCGCCGCATGGTCGAATCGCTCGGCGCGGTACGACACCTGCGCGGCGACGTGCTTCAGTGCCCTGTTCGAGACACCGCCTGTGGCCTTTTTGAGCGTGGCGTCCGCCTCGTCCAGCTCGCCCGTCTTGTACAGCGCATATGCCTTCTCCAGGACGCACTGCTCCTCGAGCTTGGAGCCGCCGTCCGCGATGGCGCGCAGGGCGTCGTCGAAGCGGTCGAGCTTCAGCAGGGCCACGACTCGGGTGTGCTGCGCGGTGAGCAGGTCGGCGGCGCCGGCCTTGGCCTTGATGGCGGCATTGGCGAGCTTGAGGGCCTCGCTGTGGTCGTCGATGCCGGAGGTGCGCAGTAGCGAGTTGAGCGCGGCGACGGCGGGGTCACCCATCGTGATGTGGAGGAGGTCGATGGGTTTGCTTCGGAGGGAGTGTCGTTTTGTGTGACCTTATGGCAGCGTGACCATTGTCAGTCTGAAGGGTCGCAAACGTCTAATCACCAAGTCACAGCCTCGTGTAAAAGAAGGCCTTGAAGCTGGATGAGGTCCTATGCAACGACGTCGCCAGAGAGTGACGTGAGTGGAGGAGGGGCATTGGGTGGTGGGGCTGCACTGGCTGGGTCTCGATAATATTTTCGAAATATTTTGTGGGGTGAGAGCTTCAAGCCATCGATGGAGAAAGTATCACGACACGTGCCTGTAAGACACCCTTTCCCCTTATTTTCTACAGATCATTGGATTCCCAGATACTAAGGTTAAGGAGGTAAATGCCGTGCATATTCGTGCAATTCATTTAATCATTATTCATTATTACTGTTTCATATCCCATGAGTTGTGCCAACTTTGCGCAGGAGAAGGCCATTATCCCCTCCTGAAGAGTCCCCAGAACCTCCTTTCCTTGACTTCTGCCTTGTATGGCTTCAGCGGATACGTGGGACGTACATTATAGTCACTCGATGCATCCGAACTGGTATCGTAATACTCGAGCCTCGGCCGCCATTTCCTCTCCGGTATCTCACCCAGCTTGGTGCTATCTGTCGAGACGGATATCAATGACACCCTGTGGTGTACTGCACCGCCGGACGAGCCACTGCTATTCCTCCCATGGGTTCCGGTGCTTGCACTGTGGGATTGAGAACTTGACCTTTTCTGATCTTTTGCCACCTCCTCCTTGCTCTTTTGCACATTGGCTTTCCTCCTCGCCGTGCCCTGGTCTTTGCTCACTTTAGAGTCTTTCTGAGACGGGCCTGCTTCCGCATGTTTGCTTGATGTAGAGCTCATACTTGACGACTTATGCCGCTTGTGCTTCGAGGATGTGGAAGATGAGGCAAGGGATCTTCGAGAAGGCGTGCTGCCCAGTCTATGGGATAGTTGATCAATTGCCCGGATCGCATCGACGCGAGACGCATTGGACAGGGACATCAACGAGTTGTAGTCAAGCACGGGTTTCTGATTCTTGCTGGCGATGCGCATGAGGTTGGCGATCGCCGCACGGAGCTTCTTGAGCACTCGGCTCAATGCCGACTTGGCTTTGGCTGCAAAAGCATCTGTGTAAGTCTCTCTCGTCCCACTGACCAGTGTGATGATGCCGTAGGAACCTACCATCGCCCTTTTCCAGACGACTTCCCGACTCGGACAGCCTCGACGAGTACGCACGGCTCACTCTGTTGCGGTCGGCCTTGAGAGACTTGCGCAGCAGCGACTGCTGGTCGCTCCTCCTGTCGGCATCGCCAGCTCGGCGCTTGAAAGCCTTCAGGAGCGCCAGGCAGTTGGAGTAGGTCTCGAGCAATGCGGTGACACTTTCACCAAAGCCCATCTTGCCTAGCTTCGTATCACCAAGTCATGACATGTGAAAATGAGAGCTGAACTGAGAAAAGCACACCAGGAAGAAAACGTCGTCGTCGCAGCCTTGCTGCATCGACGAAGTCGGTGTCACTCATCCAGTGCGGGGCGGGGTTTGGCCAGAACAGTCCTCGGCGGCTAGAGAGTGGTGGACCGCCAGTGCCCGCTAGAAGCCGGGTGCTGAGAACCAGTGCCTGTGAACCAATGGCTGCTAGCATCCCACCAAGCTTAACGATGCAAAGCCAGTCAAAAGGACCTGATATGGCTTTTTCATAATGATAGGCTGTCTTCGAGGAAATCTGGTGGTTGACAAGCCTACTGCCGACACCTGCTCCCAGAGGGGGCATGGCAAGAGATGAGATCAACACTTGCCAGCCGGGACGACACTGATAAGACGTCAAAGTCCCTCAAGAACACGAGCCTTATGCAGATGAATCTTCCGATTTCACCATCGTCGGCCGTAACATTACAGCATATCCAAGCCACAGCAGGTTACATTCGTGAGCAATTTCCGCACTTTTCCTTGGCTTGTTTGTAGAGATATCACTTTCTCCTGAGGAACGCGGCGGGTAGTCACTGAAAACAGCACAGCTCAGCTCAGCTCAGCTCAGGCTGCCTGCCTGCCTTCTAGGGATAAGACAAGGCCTGCTTGCAAGCGAGAGATACCAGCCCGCGCCGCCCGGCTGATGTGATGTCAGGACGGTCAGGTAACCCTAACTACACTGCGCGCGGGCATCTCTTGTCTCTTATTCTGGGCTGGCAGGCCACATGTCGCTTTCCTCTTTGGGCCGTACGCCTGTATCAGATCCGGCATCTAAGAACGCACTTTGCTTCTTCCGCTCGCGGGAGAGCTACCCTGCATTCCGGCGGGAGTGAGATCGGAGAGCCTCCCATACTCGCTTCGGTGATTTGATTTGATTGTTGTGTGTTGTGCTACCTACCCAAATGTTCCCTACCTAACCCTTATCTCTTCTTATGCTGGGTCCCCCCCAGTTGCTTCTTCTGACGTTCTGGCCTCTTGCCTGTTTCCAGTTGACGAGAGACATGGCTGGTACCTTGCTGTGTAGCCCATAAGCCCGGCATTAGTCCTCTTGGTGACTCACTTTAGCAGGGCCACGTTAAGAGGATGGTTTCACAAGCCGTTATCAGGAACCAGCAAAGTGGCGAGATATGCGCAACAGAATCGTCCACAGAGAAGAGGATGTGCGCTGTGGGTGATCTGTCACTTGCAAATCAGCCTGAGCAAGGGGCGCCCAGCAGCTCTCAGGCCAGTAGCGCCATCTGAGGAGACACTCGTCGCAGTCTGGCATTGCAACTGGCCTGGGAGCCCGTGTAAGTGTTCTATTTGCTTGCTGGCATGTCCCTCCGATTGCGCAAGCTTTGGGGGCCAGCAACGGACGGGCAGCGCGAGGGGTGCATCGCAGCCCTGCCGGGGGGGCCTGTGTGTCTGCTGGCCACGATGCACCGTCCAAACCCACGGGTGGATGAGCACCTACGGCAGGTCATTATGTAATTGGGCCACTCGTTCCCCAAAATTGAGAGGCAAAAAATTGGGGTTTCGTTCGAGTGGGATGGCCGATGGGGTCCGCCGTCACTTCAACGTTCTTCCCATGGGTAATTGATACCTTTTTGAATCTCGAAGAGCCTGAATATCAAGATGTCCAGTTTCAATTTTGTCAATGTTTCCCAACGCTGCCGGATAAAATGTCCGGTAGCGCTTTTGCAGAATACACAGCCCGCAGCCCTCCATGCTTGACACTATCGTGATAGGCAAGTCCGAAGAGCAGATACCCCCCGTGCCAGGTCGAGATAGAAGAGTCTTGGTCAATGACCACATCGAGCCTCGGGTGTATCAGGTTGGCAGCCGGCCGTGAAAATCACAGGCCAAAGGGGAACTTTCCGAACAGACGACCCAAGTTTCTCCAAAAAGGAAGCAGGCTTCGTATGTAGGCAGGGTCACCGAGATAAGAAGACGCCATTGGCACGGCAGTTTCAAAAGAAGCACGTCTTATCAGCAAAGAAAAAAACGGGCATGCAGCGAGCCTATCGGAATGCGAAAAATGCCCCTACCACGGTCGTGATGCGATGAGGCTGTAAAGGGGGTCCAAGAAAGTTTGCGGGAAGTCCCATCTGGCAGCATTTAGAGCGCGGGACTAGCAAGCAGCCAGCCAGCCCGGAGGGCTCGACACCCTTTTTCTTTCCTTCGAGACATTCGAATCTTTGGATCGACACTCACCGATTGTCAAGGTACCCACTCGGTCAGTTTGCTTTTAATATATCGGTGCTCTGCCGCCCCTGAGAGGGACGTGGCATGATGGATGGGGGATGGGGGACGTGGATTCTGTGATCTGTCGGACTGCCTGCCGTGGGTGAGTCCCCTTTTGTGCCGTGCCCTGCAGCACGAACGCTGGTGTTTCGGCGGGCGCAATCTTACGCGGGACCCTCCCCTCCAAACCTAACCCTTACCGCGGACGCCAGATAGGCCAAATTTGGACATGACGATATCGCCTGAAACTGGACCGAGCGGCAGCATTTGGGCCAACCGTTGGATCCCAAGCCAGTGGGTATCCTTCTCAGCAGGACCCGGACTCAGGCGGTGACGCTGGCCCATCGACTCATCGTATTGCGGTGAGCAGGGAATCGAAGACGCCAGAATCCTGACCAGACTTGATTGGAAAGGCTCGCTGGGCGATCGCTGATCCCATCAACCTGCGCATCCGATTTCTCGCGATGATGTGCCGCCATGGCGCTCTCAGCAAACACTGGCCATGGACCGCAGTCCCGTCGAGTTGTAGTTCGGTGGTGTAGCGCCGCTGTATGCACCAAGTACAGCGCTGTGAGACTTCGAACGGTTTCTGAACGTACGGCGGTACGCTGGATGTACTCGATGTGGGGGCGGGCAGGCGGGTACCTGCTCGTACCCAGACCCCGGTTCTCCATAGGGGTTCTCCCGCTGGCTCCCGTTAACAGCGGCTACCTCAGCCCCGCCGGCGCACTAACATCATCGGGTGAATGGTGCGCGATATTGATGAATATATGACTACAACACTGCCGGTCACTCTGTTAGAGCCCCCATCCAAGTGGATTACTTGCAGAGTCTTGTGGACGGGTGCAGACTCGGTTGTGCTGAATGACCTTTTCTCCCAAGTCTTGTCCATCTGTTGAGTGGGCGCAATCAGGAGGCACTGGAAGAGGTGCTCGGGAGGTGCGTTCCTCACAGATCCACGAGGCATCTTGAGATCTCACGGCGCCAGCGCGTGAAGATGTGCATTTACTGCAGATTCCAGGCTAGGGTCGACGTCACAGATGCTACTTGCTGTAAGGGTGGCAGGCAGGCAGGGCAGATAAGATGCGCCGCGACAGGAAGATGCCGTGCGTGCCTTGCTGCTGGCGGCGCATGGGCATGGCATATCATTCTCGTAGGGGTAAGGTAGGCACGGGCAAACCGGCAGCGGCAGCAGGAGGGAAATGGCAGGGTACGGTAGGGCAGGCCGAGCGAGCGAATCTGCAAGCAATAGGAACGTGTCCCTTGATGCCGCACACAATGGGCAGAGAGGCCCGCCTGCCATGTCAGCCAGGCTGTGCTCCCGTGCGGGCGAGCATCGGGGTCTTTGTCCCAGAGGAGGGCTCTCCTCAGGCTCACAGGTTCTGCTATGCAGGTAAGGAGCATGAAAATCCAAAAGATGAGCGTGGCACCTGGCCAGGCTTGCCAAATGGGGAGGGCCGGCAGCGAATCAGGCGAGGGCAGTCGGCACAGACGAGGGTCCTTATCTCTTGCGTCCAGGTGTCCCCCACCATCGCGAGACTACTGCGCAGTATTCGGCCCTCGTCATCCATGTGGTCTGTATCGCACATCCCTGCTCGCGCTCTTGGCCCTGCCCTCGAGGGGCCCGTTCGACCGCCCGCCCCGTGCCACTCCTGATAAAGTCGCAGCAAAGAAAAGCAGCAGTCGCAAGCACCAGCAGAATCAGGTCTGCAGCCGGCGGCAGCGTGCTTTCGTGCTGCGTGCTGCGTGCTGCGTGCTGCGTGCTGCGTGCCTAAGATGGGCCAGCAGGGAGAACGAAGAGATGGTGGTGGGTCTCTGGGCTGTCTCGTCTATTTGCGTGTGCATCGGGTGGGCGAGTCGCCGGTCGTTGCAGTATCTATGAATCTGACGACTGATTGCAGGCTGGTACTGGTCTCCCTGCTGATGGGAATTGAATGTGCGCCTGAAGGTATCGTGAGTGACATGCATCCCCAACAACAGAGATTGATAGACGTGAGCAGAAAGAAAAAGAGGGGGGCCGAGATCGATAGACAGGTAGAACCACACACACACACATACACACACACAGGGCAGACACACTATAGAGACACTAACCCACACCCGCGACGCCGCACTTTCTACTTCTCCAGACCCACGGCCACTCCACCCACCCTCACCCAACCCTCGCTGGCGTGCCATGATGCGAGATTCAATGCGCTCACTTTGTCATGTATTACATGGTGCGCCTCCTAGGGGCGAGGCGCTGCGGTGCGTTGGGCGAGGGATGAACCATCCCAGCAAGCGGCGGCGGTACTGGAGGGCGAATTCGCCAGGTGTCGCAAGAATGGCAATGCGAAATGCAAATGGCCAGACCATAATAAGGAGGAGCCTGCCTGTTCTTGCTTGGTACTGTACCTAGGTATGTACAGTACGCGTAGAGATAGATAAATGGACGGATGGATCGATGATACCAGACCGCTATCAGCTGCTGCCACTTCTGCGGCGTGTTGCGTGCTCCGGGAACGCGCCCTGGGCTGGGCTTTTTCGGTCTAATTGAAACTGTGCCTTATCTCGTCATTGCAGGGAGCGAAGTCGTAGTCGTTCCCGCGGGGCTGCAGGAAGTAAGGTCATCCATCCTTTGTAGTGGAGCAATCGAAGTGCAGTGCAGCGTGCAGAGCAAAACAAAACAGAGTGCAGACAGGTAAGGATAAGCAAAGGTAAAGTGCTGCGTCAGGCAAGGTCAGGTAAGGGAAGGGATACCAGCAGTAGAATGGCAGACTGGCTTCAAGGTTGTCTCCTCCTGTCATTGTCATTGCCGTTGTCCTTGTCTGATGGATGGATTGTGAGGTCTGCACGGGCGGCGAGAGATAACGTTAGGAGAGAAACTGAGACTGAGTCGAGCCGAGTACGGGAACGGTACCTCGACGGCCTGTGCTAGCCTCGTACCGTCGAATACTCCGCAACCTGCCCGTCCCACAACGGAGCCCTCTAGGCCGCGGGTACCCCGCTAAGAAGAGCGACCCCCAACGTCCCCCCAATTTGCCGCCTAGCAGTTCCAGATTTCTCTCAGTGACGAGCGACCCATTGACGGTGCCAGTGCCCACCATGGGATGGGATGGCGAGTCCACTTTATCATCCACCACCCTCCTCTTGGACCGGGACTCGACTGGCTGGCGGGTCGCTGAATCAATGAATGATTGAAGAAAAGTCCCTCCCACTTCGCTCGATTAGAACCGACCCGATCCTCTACGTACATACATACATACATACATACATACATACATCCATACCTCTCTATCTATCTACATACATACATACCACCACCACAATCCGCAATCCGCAATCCGCAATCCACACTCAGAAACCTCCCACCACTCAACCAACAAAGAAACGACAAGCAGCGCCGAGCACCGGCAGCAATCACCGAACGATTGCCTCCCCTGCTCCTGCTGCTGCCGTTGCTGTTACCCTCGCATCTTGCGCCAAATCTCTGCCGCATCCTATTCTGTCCTTCTTTCTGGTTGCTTGCTTGCCTACTCGCTCGCTCGCTGGCTTACCTACCTGCCTGCCTGCATACCTACCTACTTGTATAGGTGCGCGTGTGTTATCATCGATCGATCTGCAATCAGCAGCAGCCAGGCGCGGGTGTCTCGCCGTGTCGAATTGAAAGGCCAGGCCTGGGTGGTGGCCTTGTACAATACATTATCCGCCATATCTCCCCTACATCACGCCGCCTGCGTCTACCCGTCGTCTCGCCCACTTCCTTCTGTTTCGCAACCGTATCTCACGTCAAACAACTACCTACTGCCTGCTCCTGTACCAAGGACCTACTCGGCCTTACATGCTTAGCCCTACCTGACTTATCAGCGCCACGCCACAAGAGAGATACCCAGACGTCTTGCGTCGTCCTTGCGTATCAGAGCTATCTCGTCTGCTCACCTATCAGCTCCCATCTCGCCCAGGTCCACACCCAGACCGACTCAGACATATCCACCATCACAGGCCCCCGGGAGCACCCCCGTTGAGTCTATCCTCACCATCGTTTATCTCTCGGTCCCTGGATTCGTCCCGGACGCCCTGGACCCCCCCTGCTCGCCCTGTCTTGGTGTGTCCACACTTGGACTTCGACACTGCCCTGTCTTAAGAACCCATCTGCCCATCTAAGAAGACAGACCCGCCCGCGCCGTCCCGACCACCATCACCACACAAAAAGCCCAACCAAGTCCCACTTTCCGCGGGGACATATTTTCTCTTCACAGCATCACTGATACTGCTGCTGTTGTTGCACTTGCTTCGAACGCCCAGAACGGAATCGAGCCGTTCAATGGACGATATAGCCAACGGTCTAACTCAAGCTCAGCGTGTTATGTCTTGCCTTCGATAGGATTACTGGTATAGGTTGTGCTTTTGGCTGTTGCCGTGCGTGCGTGCCTATTGACTGGGTCTGACCACGGCCTGGCAACTCTGACCAGTGCGAGCTGGTCTTCCTAAATATCATTCAGCTGCTTGATCGAATACATCGACAAGAACTCTCGGCCTCTTGAGGTCGACATCACTGCAGGATGTCTGCGCATTCGTCTCCGTCCCCAGTGCAGGGGCCGACCACTCACATCGACGAGTCTCAGTTTCCAAAGGGGAATTGTCGGTACATTTTGCTGCTGCCCGAGATCAAGGGCCAGCGATGTGCTTGTGTCAATTTCACTCTTAACAAGGCCATCCCAGGAGCTACTTGTGACTGCGGGCATCTGGCCTGCTACCATAACAGAGACTCTGAGCCTCGTGTCGACAGGAATGAGTTTGGCATCCTGAGACAGCGGATGCAGGCCCTCGAAGAGCAACTTGCTCGCGACCAAAAGGATGAATTGCAGATCTTGACCGCAAGAATCAGCGACCTAGAGGAAACTGTACAGGACCGTACCAGTGACATGAGCCAGGAGATCACGAAGAGTTATGGCAACTTGAACCGAGCATGGCAAACCATTGGAGACCTTGAACGGCAAGTCAGACACCATGACGACCGTTTCAATGGCGTCGAGGGCAGCCTCAAGGCATATGCTGCCGAACTAGAGAGGCTCAACCACCGTCAATGCGAGCTTGACGATGCCGACCTAAGTCTGGAGGAACGCATTGAGGAATTGGAAGAGAGCCTCGAGAGCTCCGAAGAGACAACGCCATCACGAAATAGAAGGACGTCAAGATCAGACTCCACTCCTCCACCGCCGACTAGGCAGTTCGAGACGGTATCGCGTGTGAGACGCTCATCGGACAGCACTCCGGTCTCTCAACCAGCCTCAACTTCTGCCACTACTAGTGGTCAGGTTTCATCGGTACGGCAGACTTTCATGGCTCCCCGGACCGCCCTGATGTCTGCCGCTGAGACCTGGACGGTCCACATTTCCCTTCTCCCGACAAGTTCCCAACCCTTTCCTTTTGAACGAGACACTAATGCGTACAAACGATGTCTCTCAGTGGGTCTGCATCAGATGGTTGCAGTCAATGGATCCGACAGCGAGGCGTTTGTCTCAGCCGTGAACGATGCGTTTGCAAGTCTACTTCGAGGCCGTCCCTGGATGCCATTGCAGGCAAAGCTTTGTGATGCACAGCAGCTCCAAGGACTACCGATGCTTCGTCCACTTGAACCTTCCTTGGTCGACTGCAGATACGACGTTGAGTTCCTCAAGCGGCACTGCGCCGTCCTCGACATTAGCGGCAAGATTGACTCCCTGTATATTGCAATGCGTTACGACACATTCTCTTGGCATTACCTGCGGAGGTCTCCGAGATATTTGCTCGGCCTTGAAGCGAGCTGGCAATACGATCCACTGTTAGACCCGAACAACCCTATTGAGGAGGAGGATGACGATGACATTCTTCGTCCGCCAGCTGGAGATCTGGCGTCGTCATTTCAGTCCTTTCATCCCTTAAAGCGAACAGCTTCTGAAATTTCACGATCATCTAGTTTCGGGTCCGCGACCATAGCTGATGGTGAAGGCTCAAGACCAAAAGTTGCGAGGAGGATCTTTCCACCGCCGGCAAACGTTGGCCCGGTACGAACAAGAGTGGAGACTGTGTAGAACCGGGGGAATGTTGATATTTTTATCGCCTAGAAACTGTTATCATAGCGACGGGATAATGAGATAGACGGGAGGTCAAGGGCGTTCATCGGAGACGGGGCGTATAGATACCAAGGGCGACTACTTCAGCCTACGGCAGCGATTCGAGGAGATCTTGTCACAGCTCTCTCTTTCTCTGGTTTCCTAGGATGTTCACTTTCCCCTTTTTTTTGGCATTTTATTGTGGCGGTGTTGTACACTGTCGGAAATAGTACACGTCACGCCCTTTTTCTCCTCATCTTAGATATGCCTCGATGGATCGGTCTTTTCTCCTTTGCCGCTGTGCTCGATAGAGGACGCATGGTCTGGCGCGATAGTTGGCTCGTAACAACCGAGCGATATACTAGGGAAATAGACGCTTTCATTTGACCGAAGAGAATCTGGTCTTTGCGACTTGACTGTTTTAAGTGCTCTCAATCCATTGCTGAGGCACGAGACACGGTACAATGCGAGACTAGCATGATGCAAAGAAAATATGGATGGCCTGGGAGGAACATATGGCGGTGTTCTGGAGTAATCCGAGGAGCACGGATGGGCGCTGAGGATCTAAAATAAAATAAAAACAGAGCATCAATACGAAGGCAGTTGTCCTGCCTCTGTGCCGTGGGCTGGCAATAACCGGCGTTTCTGGGAGTTGTCTGCAGTAAGACGGTCAGATCAAACACACGGCAGTTGATGATTAAATAGGAAATGCGAGGTTTCGCCCAGTCCGTCCACAGGATCATGAAAAGTCTTCAGATGTGACACAATGTTTTTGCGAGGTAAACCAATAAACTGCCTCAGTTGTGCCGTGACCGGTGAGAAGAGACATTGGGAATTGCCAATGTTTGCCTCGGATCAATTCCTACCGCCGGCAGCAGAGCACTAGGATCGCCTTGCTGTCTGTGTGTGATGTCGTCGCTGGCCCGTGAAAGCCACCAGGCTCGAGGAATGGGACAGTTGTGGACTCAATGTAGCTAGAGGTACTCCTCCACACATCTATAGGGTAAGAGTACCTTCCATCAACTAGAAACGCCGTCTCTGCTGTCCTCCCCCACCACCACCTCCAAGAACAAGCGGGTTCGGTCAGGCTGAGCCGCAGCTTTCAACTTCCCATATTCTTTCTAGCCTCGTCGAAACATCATCTCCAGAAACTGCGCGGCTGACCCAGGCACAATTACACCTATAGAGCATATCAATCGCCCACTTAGTTTTATATTATTTCTTACGCATATAGACTGCCTTGACGACTTCCTTCCTCACCAATTAATCCCAGCGCATCGACATTCTCCGGTCCCACCCTCAAAGATAATACAGATACTACTCGAGAGCTTGCGCCTACGATGGATGATTTTGACATTGAGATGGGCGATGTAGCCGACGTGCCCATGGAGGAGCATGAGGTGGCCGAGATACCACTGGGCGACGACCCTCAGGTTTGACATACCCGCTGCGACCGTGGAGATACTCGGGATTGGCATTGACCAGGACTTTTATGTACAGGAGGACGGCGAAGTCGAGGAGGACCACCCGAGCGGGCACAACGCAGAGTCCGACGATGCACGACTCATCCTCAACAAGATACACATACGCGGCCTCGACACGGTCAACGAGACGAGCCTGAAAGAGTTCGTTGCCTCACACGTAGGGGCCACACTGCAGCGGGTGGAGTGGGTGGACGACACGTCGGCGAACCTGGTCTTTGGGTCCGACGCCTCCGCGCAGGAGGCGCTGATTGCGCTCTCCGCCGTCGAGATTGCAGACGCGACCCAATTGCCGCCGCTGGAGCTCCTACCGACCAAGGACTTCACGCCGAAGCCCGAGGTCGGGCTGCGGATCCGCTTCGCGGTTGAGACGGACCGGAAGGTCAAGAACGCGGCGGAGCGCAGCCGCTTCTACCTGATGAACCCGGAGGAGGAGGAGAAGGCGCGGCGCAGATGGCAGCGGGAGAGCAGGTACCGCAGCAGAGACGACGATCGCGGGTACGGACGGGATCGAGATCGGCGGTCCGGGCGCGGGAGACGAAACGACCGCTACGACGACGAGGAGCCGGAGAAGTTCGACGTCAGCCTCTACGACGATGACGAGGAGGCGCTTGCGAAGCGCGGCGAGGGCAGACTGGCTCGGCGGCGGGATTCTCGGTCGCCTTCTGATAGATCTGATTACGAGAGCCGCAAGGTGCGCAACTCGGGCAAGGAGCTGTTCCCGGATCGGCGGCCGAGGGAGAGGGACTACAATGGCACGCGCAATCGCTCTGCGTCGCCGCTCAGAGACGAGATTGCGGACGACCTTGAGAAGGACAGGATAGCCAACCGGAACAGGGACCAGGCCCGCTCCATCCGGGATCGCTTATCAAAAGACAACAGCACGAAGGAGCTGTTCCCTTCGAAGGCTTCCAATGCAAATAAGGCACAGATGGATCAAGTCGCGGGCGAGCCCACAACAGGTCGTCTGCTGAGTGGTATGTTTCATCTTTCATTTGACGGCACCGGCGACATATATGATTTTGATTATAATTTCGGCCATTTTGCGCACATCGTCATCAAGAATAGCACAATAACCAACAACATTGCAGATCGAATCACCGACCCGAACAACGGGATCAACATCAGGGGTATTGCGGAGAAGCGCGGCGCAAATCAGGGATTTTCCATCAAGGGCGCTTCGGTCAAGGAATTGTTCCCCGAGAAGTTCAACAGCAACGCTGGGAAGGAGCTATTTTCTGAAAAGCTGGAAGGGAGAGGGCGCAGGCGGCAAAGAGCAGACGATTTTCACTGATCTCGGCGTTTATGGGCGGGGACAAACATAGAAATGTAATACCTTACTGTATCATTATCACCAGCGGAACACGAGCAGTGATGGCATCGTCCCGCATTATTGGACGGTCATTCGAACCATACCACAAGCATGCCAACTGAATCATCATTCTTCGTCGTCCTGCGATATGACACATGCATATTACACATGCCACTTCATGTCACGGGACAGTTCAGACTGAAGTTAAAGGAAAGAGCTTTCAGCCTAATCCTCTACAATGCAGAATGGTCCAAGCTATTGATCTTGAGGCTTGAGGCCGGACCGAGAATGCAAGGAGCCAGCGGGGTGCGCGTGGCGGTTGTGTGAGTTGCATGTCCCATTGGTTCGTACATTGGCGTATCAGCCGTAACGATCATGATCAATACCGGTTCGGACAAGATGTCCATACCTTCGATTTAGGTTGAGGCAATTCAAGCCATACTATGCATACTACTACCACATAACTCCTATCTTCACATGGCGAAATTGACGTATCTCGTCACCAGCTTATAAGTATAACCTCGCCTACAGAGATGAGATTCGTGGGGAAGGATGGCACATATCGCCCCTGCTGAATATTGTACGAGCTTTCGGAGGATGAAACAGGGATCGCAGAAGGATGTCTTGGGAGTTGAAGTTGCACTCGGTCCCCTCTTTCGAATGCTATTCCTGATAGCATACACACGCGGTCGTTCTCTCGAGTCTGGATGGGCTGAGCTGCAGACAATTCCGCCATTTCTGTCAGTTCCCCTCTCCAAGCCGTGCCCGACTATCGAAGAGAAGATCGAGGCGCGGGTTAGCACGTCTCAGTCCAAGCAATAGCAGATCGTAGCAGGGTCCGAACAGACACATGGTCATATCTGATAGTTGTTAAGGTAGGCTGACATGTTGAAATTGCAAGAGCAAATCTGGAGGAAAAGAGGCCAGTAATTCTTTCGATGAGCATGTAAGATCATAAGGCTTGGTATCTCGTAGGCTAGCAGCATTAAGAGCTCGCGGTAATGGAGTCGCAACTAGAGTGAACAATTGCTGGTAACTGCTGGGGAAAATAAAGGATGATGCTGTCTCTGTGGTCTGGTGTTTTGCCTCAGGGAGGGAAGTTGCGACTGTCAACACCACCTTTCACTACATCATCAACAACTTCATCCTTCTTTTTGTTTTCCCTCGCAAATATTCACCCACAACCCATGATACCAAAATAGAGAACAACTAGAGAAGGCCGCCTTGTATTGTTTTCATTCTTCATATGCCCTTTCCCCCCTCTGGCCATCTCTGTTCTGGAGGTTGTCCATAGCATCATCCTCATCTCACTTTTGTATCCGCCCCTTTTCCGCCATCCCATCTCCCAACAGCAATTCCGCTACCAGCCTCGTACCAAACACCCTTAAGCAGCACAAAATTGAACAAGAGATTTTATCTAAGTTCATTTTTTGTATACTGAATTCCCTCCATCATCAGCAGAGCAGCTTCTCCCTGCTATCATCCCTAAGCTGCGCGTCACGTCTCCTGGACCTCAGCCTTCCTTTACCACCCAATATAATCATCACAGCTCTCTCAAATCAGAATACGACGTATCAGCCTCCTCTCACGGTCTGCTTCTACGTCATCACCGATCTCACTTTTCCCAGTTTAGATTCTCACAGCTTCATTGTCACCTCATTCATCATCATGGCGGAAAGATGGCTCGGATTCGCTCCTCGCTCCCATACCCCCATATCCCAAGCAAAGTCTGCTGAGCAGACCTGGTATGAGCCGCCCGAAGATTCTCCAACTCATTGCCTGCATCATCAGCCCAAGCCCCATGTCTTGTCGCGTATGTCCAGCTACCTCACTTTGGGCAGCGCGGCACGAGCTCCTACGCCCCCTATGTGGGATGCGGAGAAGAGCCAACACTACAATGTTGAGAACCTCATTCGCGAGTCCGACAAGACCTGGCACAACCCCAGTCTCATTCAGATGGTCGAGACGGTCGGATGCAGTCTCATGGCCAACGGCATCCATACTCCCATTCCGAGAGAGCTCAACACCTACGTGGCGTCTATGATCGAGCAGTTTAGGATCCTTGACCACAGGGATAAGGTGCTTCGAGGAAACGTCAAAGACCTCGAGCATGCCAGGGAAAATGATCGCAAGGAATTCAAAGCCGCGAGCGATGACTGGAAGCAAAGGGAGCTTGACTTCAAGGCGGAAATCAAGCGGCTCGAGCTCGTGATCATGGAGACCAACCCAGGAAAGGGCCTGGAGAAGGTGCTTCTCAACCGACGCAGAAGCGTAGTCAATCGAAACGATACAAAGCGATTCAGCGCAAGACTGGACAAGCTGAGCAGCGGCGAGACGGAAGGTATGATGACTCTGAGTTCAATTTCGGGCCAAAGGTACAACACTTGCTGACCATCGACACATAGTTGGGGAGGCTTCAACAAGAGTGGATGATGAAAACAAGAAACTGACTTCAGGTATGATTACCCCTGAAACAAGTATGAAGCTTCCAGTTGACACTTACGACCTCAGCCCTCCTCCTCGATCACAACAACGATGAGAATATAAACGAGAGGCTCCGCCGACGGGAGTTCACTGGCCGATATCAGCCACCTGATGGTAGACAACGTATCGACAATCCCCGATACTTCAGCACCGAAGCTCTGCAGAGGGCGGCCACCCGCGTTTCACCACCTCCCAGGAGGCCTTCACCTCTCCGACAAGTGACAAATGCTGTTCAGGGACATCAAACACGCCTCAACTCCGATTCTAGCAACAGCAGCACGAGCAGCAGCGCGCGTTCCTCGGTTTCTCTGATCACGGGAGGGCTCGCAGAGGAGGCGGCAAGGCGTGGCATCACTCCACCAAGTGTAGACAGTCTGATGAAGTTGAGATTTGATACAGAGGCCGCCATGAAGGCCATCAAAGAAGAGGCGAAGACCAGGGCCGTCCCTGATTGCGCAATTGAGGATGACGAAGATCTACCAGATATCAAGAAGCCAGAGCATCATCGTGCACCCTCATTCGATCAAGGTGATGAGAAGGTCTTCAGCGTAAACATGGCCTCGGCAACGAATGCGAGACAGGGTCTCAAGGAAGCAGTTTTTGGCAAGGAGATAAAGGCGAATGACTAGAAGACCATCCGCCCGAACACTCCGGAGGTCGTCAAGCATCCGGAAACCTGTTCAGTTGACCGCCCGGCAGCCGATCCGCCTGCAGAGACGGAGCAAGCGGGCCCTACAACTCCGGCGACGGACTCGTCGAACCGAAGGAGTTCCTTGAGTAGCAGTCCGTTAACAGTTGTGCACATGCCAACCGAGGAGGACACACATTACGAGAGGCCCACTGAGACCCAGACCCAGAGTCCGCTTCCTCCTAAGAAGGCGTCCGATCCACACCAGGCCCGTCGCAATAACCAGTCGCAATTGAAAGATGGGCCCAGACCAGGAACGAAGCTCCAGACTCCAGCCACTACATCCACGCCCCCTAAAGAAAGTTCAGGTAGCCGAGCAATCATCGTGAGCCCAAACGACCTTTGTGGTGAGTGCAAGAAACAACTAGTCTACAAGCACAGCGGCGACGATGACTCGACTAAGTCATCCCCTGGCTCGGCCGCGTTTAAGAGAGTTGAGGAAGTTAGCAAGCATGCGACAGGGAGTTCTGCGATGATAGCAGCATCGGCAGCAGTTCTCCTATTCCACGAGCGTGAGCCTACGGGCGACTATGAGAACTTGAGACTGGCTGCTCGTCGCGCAATGCATCACCGCCGCAGGCCCTCGAAGAAGTAGGAGGGAAGCGTGGCATTGGCATGTCCATAGCCCGCTAGACATGGAAACGGTCGTGAAAGAGGATTAAGAGATCCACCTCAAACCGGATTTGGAGGCGGACCTGTCTTACTTGCTCCATCAACCTCAGCAGCCTAGCCTGCATGTAATAGTACTTACACATTCACGATGCCAGGTAATAGTTGACCCTCTTTGCTAGTCTCTTGGAGGACACGTCCGAGATCATAAATTGGATCCGGCATCGACGAAGGATACTTGGACGATCAGGCCAGGGTATGATAGCTACTTCAATATACATAGATACCACGAGGATTGTATCGCTCTTCACATGCTCTTGTGGGTCCATCAGCTAGCCTTGCTAGCGAACCTTACGTGCGTAGACACTTGATATCATGCATGAGGCTCCGGCATTACCATGGACGACAGCTTCTGTGAGCATCATAAGTGACGCGAAATCACTCCATATTGAGAGGCGAGAAGGGCTAACGGAGCTGTCAGACCGTTTTTCTGTGGTTCCTCGCGAGCCATGGCTCGATACTGTACGGCGCGCGCTGCGCGAGTTCCCTCGTAAAGGCTAGCCAGGGGAGAGCCAAAGGCAAAAGACTGGGGAAAGGGCCCTCTTTTTCTCGACCGAGTTGTTCCTGACATTAGTCGTGACACCTCACAACTCGCAGTCTTTGCCCGCTGGACCTAAGGCCCAATGTCCCCGTGCTACGGCCGCGTGACACATTTTGCTACCCGCATTCGCTATCATTGCTTCGCGTGAGGCAATTTGACGACTGGCCAGGCTCTGATACTAGAGTTCCTAGACTCGTTCTCTTTCAGCCAGCCATTGGTTTGATTTGACCGAGGCTCGGGGGACGTTCTAACTTGGCGCCTCGAGGAGAAAGGCAGCGCTTCTGGGAAGCGATTGGCTGGCGCTGCTGGAGTCGCGATAATGAAGATATGCGGGCGGTGGAGTTCTGGAAAGTGGATTGTCATTAGCAGCAGGCGTATCTTTCTAGGCGTGCACCACCAGCGAGCGTGTCCTCGTGAGCAAACGGTCCTTGTCTCGCTTGGCTTGTCTTGTCGACGACCCCTGCTCAGCTAGATAGATAGATGCCCTACACACTACCTGTTCTTGGAAGAGAGGAGCCATCCTAATTGCACTACGCCGTGCTCGATAGTAGCTGGCCTGTGGGGCCGGCCGTTCTTTGCCCACCTCGCCGCCGCCCCAGCCGGCACCAGCAAAGACACGAGGCACGAGGCACGAGGCACGAAAGCAAATATCCTCACTAGCAGGAAGTAGGCAAACGACCGAGGAATGGGGTGCGAGCGGGCACCGTTTTGGTCTTAGGGACAGGCCTAGTTCCGCGAGAAGGACTGCTCGGCGACGCCGTGACCAGTAGGCAGAGATGCAATTGCGCCGTGTACTTGTCATCGCGTAGTTTCTCGAGGGTCTGGACTTCCTGTATCTGCGTGCACCTGCTGTGTGACGATGGGGAGAATTGGAGAACGCGTGGCTGTCGCTGCTGGTCGGGAGGTTGACTTTCGTTGCTGGAGCAGGCTAGCTGAAGAAGATGCGCCAGTCTATGGTATTATTGTGGACTGTATCATATCAGTAGAATTGGAGCTTGCAGGGGAAGCTTTTGCTCGGAAGTAGGACGCACTGGCCAGGGAGCGAGGCAATCTCGATAACCGAAGAGCGTTTTAACCAGATCGCTGGGAACTGTGGGCGAGTAGGCATCCCTGATGCATGCTGACGGAGACATTACAAGAGGTGTTATCAGTGGAGAGGAGGGGGGACCAGGGTTCACCATGACCTTGCACAGACTCTGCAAGACCGAGAGCAAGCATCCACAGACGGATGTGCATCGAGAAGAAGAAAAAAGAAAGAGGATCGATGTGCGTTTCCGTCATGCTCGCAGCCTGCTGCTGTACCAGAGCGGATGTTCGGCTTACGGTGTGGAAGTGTGAACGATCACTGTCTGCAGAGGACTAGATTGATAAGAGGGATGTGGTAGCTAGGTATGCATCACGAGGATCTGATATGAAGTGCAAAGCATAATTCGTCCAGGACATGATTATCACCAGATACTAAGTGTCGAAAACGGTGAGCATCCACGGCAATGATATACGCTTTCTGCATGCAATTGCACATCGGGAGGCGTTTGACTTTTCTGTTCCCGGACGACGACAAGCTCGATCGTTGCAGACGTTGCTCAAACGTCCGCATCGCTGCACGACGGTTGAACCAGACGACCGTCTGACTTCATGATTGGCGTTGAGATGCGGTCCCCGGGGACTAGGAAAACAGGGGCCGGCAACGTTGATCACCAGTAGAGGACCGATCTACAGCAGAAGCTGAGTTTAAGGGAGAATCCAGATCTCCTCTGCCCCTCTCTCCTTTGAACCTTCGATTGCCGGACGCCTCGCCGGATGTCGTGCACTCCTGTTGCCCGCTGAAGAAAGGGAATGCGGTAGCCTCGTATCCGTGTCTGTTGGAGGTAGGCATGTAATCCTCTTTTTTGCCATGGCTTCTACGTGATACTACTTCAAACGATACGGGCGTAGACTACGCCTTTAGCCCACAAACTGGAGCCTCGTCATCGTCCTCCTCCACCCTTCCCGAGAGGGGGACCCGCGCCGCGATACGATCAACGAGAGGGGCGGTCACGGAAAGGCGTTGCCCAGCAAGGGCCTCTGGCTGCTGTGTCCGTTAAACAAGAGCCTTGTTGTTCTCTTCCCCTTCAATAAACTCGCTCGGAAGGGGGTGCCGTGCTACCGTCCCACAACGATCTGCGAGAGGTCATCTTGCATCTGCATTAGAGCGAAAGAGAGCGAAATATAGTCATCTTGTCTCATTCCTCTGGGAATGGGGATCTCTCGCCCGTTATGTGAGTCGCCCGAACGGCCCGAAATCTGAGTGTCTAAGGTGCGCCCTGGCTTGTCTCAACGCGGGAACAAAACGGTGCACAGAGGGTGGGAACATCTGAAGGCGCAACCAGGAAAAAAGAAAATAGCAGCACCCAGGTACAGGGCGAATCAAGTCCAGCGCATCTCGTGTGCCTGGCACCGCGTCTGGACTTGACTTGTTTCTCCTTGGCGAAAACGGCGGACCCCCTAGGGGTGGCGTTTGAGTATGGATGCACACACACTTCACTCGAGTACATCGTGTTTCAGCTCCACCTTCTCAACAGAAAAGTGTGCAAACTCGCGAAAGAAGACATTTGACGCCGCGTTGCGCGGCAAGACTTCGATCGTGAAGAGGCACACGCCTGGGTACTGTTGTGAGATCTCAACAGAGTATCAAAATCGAGGACCTAGTCATGCACACATAACGCTACCGCCGAATTGCGCGACTCACACGGCTACTTCCTTGTCACTGTGTAACATGAGAGCGGCTTCCCGACTGGATGGTAGGGATGAGTCTTGTGCGTTAGCACAGCACCAAGGTGGGAGATCTGCCTCTAGGATACTTAGATCCTCGATACGTAGTGCTGTGTTACCCGAGTGTGGGAGAGAAAACGGTGGTAGAAGCACTCACCACAGGGTTATTGGGGTGTCGATATGTGCAACTTGATCAGAGACTTCGGGATGCTTGAAGTAAGGTTGTATCAGGTCTCTCAAGCAATCTCCGGGATACAAGATGGATGCTCCTGGGTGTGCTACACTGCATTACACCCTGCCTCGAAGGTGCCTCGACGTCTTTTCATACCTACCTGATAGGACGGATGTCTTCTGAAATCCTCAGGGGTTTACGTGATGCCAATACGAGACAAATCATCTCCTTAGTGAGTAGCCACAGTCATAGAAGGCCGCCACCATTTGACTCTCCGGAGTTCATATCTACAACTTGTTTTCATATCGCGATACTCGCTCGAGAAAAACTGAGCACAGACTCATAATCCCTGTCAAGCTTCGTGACGGACCAGGGTGCGGTCGACGCTACTCGAGGTACAACTTGAGGTTATCGCGACCCCTCAGAGGTCTGGACTCCGCGCCTTCAACCGAACCAGAAAAACGCCTCTCGCACACGCCTCTAGCATCTTACGTTTTGGGATGCTAGACGACAAAATCTCACGATAGCATCGTCCAGAGTTGGTCAAGAGGCTTTCTCTTAAAAGTACGCGGATGGAGCGGCTTCGTCATGATAGAGCCAAGCATAGCCAAGGACGCGATCCGGTGTGGGTCCTGTCAAACTTAGTGTACCGGGGAATAACCGTCAGTGGTTTAGCAGAGAAGTCCGGCCATAACGACTCAACGTCTCTATGAGGAGTCTGTGAGGAGGATGTAGAGTACTTCTCGATGCAAACGAATTGAGTTTTCTTCTCAGACGAATGGCTCTGGGTCTGTTTATTACCCGTTCG